TCTCCTCCTGGCCTCCAACGCATGCAATCAAACTGAGATTGGTTGGATCAGATGCTTCACAAGCCGGTAACGGATTGTTTGCATGAAACCAAATTCGGAAGTGACTAAACTGTTGTCGCTTCCAGTTTCTTACATCATAAAGTGGGAGGAGAGACCTCAGTTCCTCTCACTGTGTCCCAAGAACCGGTTGCTGCTGGTTGCATCCTTACCGGACCCCGCAATCCCACGGTAGAGCTAGGTAAAGGCTGCGGTGAGGAGGAACCCTTCTACCGCCTGTAAAAGTAATCCAGTGGCTGTGTAGCTGCAGTCATGATCCTGGTATAACCAATTCAATCGGAGTACAAAAAATGGCCATTGCCCCAGTCTGTAGCTGGCCTTCACAGCAAGGCGCACATGGAAGGGCGGCGCTTGTTAAACAATAAAAGATAAAAATTCCCAGCTCTGCTTACCAACCAGCTTGCAAACAAACCGAATTAGCCTGTCTAACAGTATGCGTTAAAAAAGGGGTTTAGTTACTGCTAGACAGGCTAATGCGGTTTGTTTGCAAGCTGGTTGGTAAATTGAGCTGGGAATTTTTCTCTTTTATTGTTTGACACTTCAATCTGAGGACGTTTATAAACGACCTATGGATAGGAAGTGGTTAATTTTAGTCTTACAATGGGGTTTCTAACTTTTGGTTCACATTGGGCTTAATTTACTAAAGGTAAATAGGTTTTGCAAGGTGCATTGGAATCTTCCCCAGAGCTTAGTGAACACGGTGAAATTTCCCTTTGCAATGAATACCCAATCACAGACACAAACAATAAATTCACCTTCCAGGAATGACATTTTTAGCATTCTGTGATGGTATTTAGGAACATTCGTCTGCATTGATCACAACTTCGGAAGTTCCAAAGAGTAGACAGAAAATTTTTATTAAAGGATCAGAAACGTGAATCGTGAAATAAATGAATGTTTGCTTTTTATTTGTTTCCCTTTAGCTGATTTCACACTGTTTTATTTTGCACAGTTGTTCTGCCACTGGGGCTAAATAAACAGTAGACATTACAGAAATGCACAAAGAAAAAAATAATATGCTAAACATTGTATTTCCTGCTGCCCATCTTCCCATCTTCATATTTCTGCAAGCGACGGCGGCCAGAAGATGATACACACAGAATTTAATAACCAAAACTCCCCACCTAGTGTGCTGGGAACATAAGTGCAGTCTGCTGAATGATATCCCAGCCGTTAGCCACGTTATTTATTAGTTATGCTACAAAACAGCCTCTTTTATGAGTTATTAGTTTCATATTTCCACTGTCACCGTTTTCTTGTAAGCAACATGAAAAAACTACCATTTATCCATAACCCCTGGAACATTTGGGTACTTGGCATTCTAAGAACATTAGGTGTCAAAATTATAGGCAGTAAACAATAAGATGTAAGCTTGCATACTTATTAAACACAGACTCATGGTCTGATGTACGGTGTACAGGAAAAATAAAATTCTTGACCATGGTCACTAGAATTTAATTTTCTGTTCCTAGCTTAAAGAGGAGCTCCAGTCCCCCCCCAAAACAAAAAATGTAAAAGTCAGCAGCTACAAATACTGTAGCTCTTGACTTTTATTATAAGGTCACTTACCTCTACAGGGATCCAGCGCTACCCTCATTGGCATCTTAGCTAAGGGAAACTGGCAGTGAAGCCTTGCGTCTTGATGGCCAGTTTCCCATACTGTGTCCACCTACCCATGTACCAATTTTAATAACTAAAACACAAAATGTAATTTTTTAGGAAAAAGGAAGGACAATTTTCCTGCTGAATTCCACCATGCTTCTCACCCCTGTGTGGCCTGAACATATATCTATAAATGGTTCCAGATATAACTTCTAAGGGAAAAAGGATTTGGTTTTGACATGGTTAAAATGCATTTGTTAGTTTTATTTTATTTGGCGTCACACTGAACACATGACATAAAAAATGGGTTATCGCGAGGGCCATCATGGGCGCCTGGACAAAGTAACAAACTCCTACAAGGGAGATGGTGACTTGTGGCGCATACCGCAGCAAGCAGTGTTACACAGTTGTATTACTAGTGTGGTTGAAAAAATCCACTAGTCCATCCAGTTCAACCAAAAACAAAACCAACAAACACACCACACACACAAATAGAAAACTTCCATATACACAATCCTATACCCAGTTCATCCTGAGGAAGGCAAAAAAAATCCCCAATAAAGCTTGATCCAATTCGCTCCAGCGGGAGAAACAATTCCTTCCTGATCCCCCAAGAGGCAATTGGATATTCCATTTACATACAGATTTTTCCAAGCCCGTAGACTTTTTACACATTAGCTGTGTGTGGGGAACGGTGTCAACCGTTTTTTGTTTTACAAAATCAAGTATACCACATCCACCGCCACTCCTTTTGTCTGTCTAAGGTCTTGCTTACCTCCTCATAAAAAGAAATCAGATTTGTTTTACAACTTCTGTCTTTCATGAATCCAAGCTGACTTGTGCTTTTTTTTTTCTAGCAAAAAAACTCAGTTAAACTAGCAGGTGTATAGTTACTTGGTAAAGACTGAGACCCCTTTTTACAAATACAGTAGGCACCATATTGGCATTAAAAATTAGAAACAATGGCTTTGAAATGACAGAGCTCAATTCTTTAAGGACCCGTGGGTGTATGCCATCCGGTCCAGGTGCTTTATTCACCTTTTTATTCTGTCTAAATATGTTTGGATCATATCAATTGTGAGCCAATGTGGATCATCTGGATCTGTGTTAATACCATGCCCATCATGGACAAGAGCTCCCCCATGCTCCTTTTGTGTACACAGAGCTGAAGAAGATAAATTTGCTTTCTGTTTGTCCCCAGTCACCCACTTCAAATCATTTTATGCTCAGGCCTGACCTTTTTTAATAATTTCTTGGGTTTGTTCTGATATCTTTTGCAATCTGTCATTTGTTATGAACTTTTGCGGCCTTCATTTCCTTGTTACATATTCTGTTATATTCGTTGTAACAAATGATAGTTTCTTCATTTTTATATTTTTTTAAAAGCTTTTTTCTTATTTTATAGCTTTTTTAACTTTGACCGTGAGCCACAAAGGTTTTTTTTTTTCTTATTTAGCCTTTTAAAATTGCCCATGGGAATATATTTTGTAGTGTGTTCGCATACAGTTGTTTTGAAGAATTCCCATTTCTGTTCTGTGTTCATCAATGCCAATCTTTCCTCTCAGCCTGTCTTGGAAAGCAGCCCTCAGCCTTGGAAAATTAGCTGTTTTAGGCCTCATGCACATAGGACATTTTCAAAATGCTACTTCTCTTGACAGCAGCGTTTTGGCAGAAAAAGCATCTGAAAAAAGTGTCTAATGCGTTTACAAGCATTTAGGTGCATTTACAGCTTTCAAACATTTAGGCTTTAATTCATTTCATTGGCCAGAAAAATTAATTTATTCTGGTCATTTAAATGAACGAATGCACAAGCGCTAAATGTACCTAGCGTTAACATGTGTTTAGGCAAGTTTAGACTCATTTACACACATCAAACTTTTTTTTTTTCTGCCAAGACACTGCTGATCCTGGACGCACTGGTGGCAGGGTTTTTTTTTTTTTTTTTTTTTTTTACAGCTCCTAAAAGCACCTGCCACTAAAAGCTTCTAAAAGTCTGTGTGCATGAACACATAGGATAACATGGAGGGGTGTTTAGAAGCTGTAAAAAAAAAAAAACCTGACCCCCCCCCCCCTAAAAGTGGCTGCAAAAACTCTGTGTGCTTGAGGCCTTAAAGTTATGTGTTTTTATCTTTCCTGTATGTTCTGCTTGTTCACAGCTAACATTAAAGTGTTACTAAACCCACAACTGTAAAATCAGTCTGTATATGTAGTAAAGCATGCTTGTTATACTCACTGTGGAACCTAAGGGGTTAATCCTCTGCTTTGTGTAAAAAGGCTGTTTGATCCTGACTTCTCTGATCCTCCCCTTCTTCCAGTGCCCCTCTCAACTCCTGATAAGACATAGTGTGGAGTCAATCTGCACATGTTCAGTTTGGTGTGTATTGCTAGAGGTTTTTTTTTTTTTTGTCTTTTGCTTGGGTGAGTGCATGTGATCAGTACAGTGCCAATCAGTGCTGTACAGACAGAGTACAAGGGATTCTGCATCCTTGCTAAAACCCTTTCTCTTTATGAAACGCAAAAACCCCTAAACCAAAAATACCAAACAAGATAAAATTTGAATTAATAAATAAAAATAACATAAATAGTCCAAAATAGATATCCAAAAGTTGGTGTGCAAATATATCCAAATATGAGTAGTCCACCAAAATATTTCAATCCAGTGTGTCCAACTTTATTTCTCCATTCCAGACCATATGATACCTCAAGAAAATATAACTAAAATAGTGTATTACCTAAAATCACTTAAATGTAGTATATACCTTTAAACAAATTAGTATATACTATGTTAGTGCAAAATAAATAATAACCAGATTCAACTGTGAATCATGCAAAAAAAAAATCACTCTGTGTACACTCCAATTTAACATGAAAAATTGTGTACACTCAAAAAAAAAAATTAATTAATTATATAAATCAATAAAACCACATAAAGTGAAATCAATCAATAAAACAGTGAAGTGAACACTCTGTGACCACCTCTTTTTCTGCATCCTCCTAGAGCAGAAAAAAAAACTCCCCCTACAAGCTTAAACTAGTGCTCTACTGAACATTGATAGAAGTCATAAGACTGCTCTAATCACTGAGAAAAGGTATTTAGCAGTTTATATATACTAAAATAATTGCATTTCCATGTTGTGTGTAGTGTGGGAGACCAGATATATTGAATGCGGGGTCTGGGGAGACCGGATATAGTGAATGCGGGGTCCGGGGAGACCGGATATAGTGAATGCGGGGTCCAGGGAGACCGGATATAGTGAATGCGGGGTCCAGGGAGACCGGATATAGTGAATGCGGGGTCCAGGGAGACCAGATATAGTGAATGCGGGGTCCGGGGAGACCAGATATAGTGAATGCGGGGTCCGGGGAGACCAGATATAGTGAATGCGGGGTCCGGGGAGACCAGATATAGTGAATGCGGGGTCCGGGGAGACCAGATATAGTGAATGCGGGGTCCGGGGAGACCAGATATAGTGAATGCGGGGTCCGGGGAGACCAGATATAGTGAATGCGGGGTCCGGGGAGACCGGATATAGTGAATGCGGGGTCCGGGGAGACCGGATATAGTGAATGCGGGGTCCGGGGAGACCGGATATAGTGAATGCGGGGTCCGGGGAGACCGGATATAGTGAATGCGGGGTCCGGGGAGACCAGATATAGGGAATGCAGGGTCCGGGGAGACCAGATATAGTGAATGCCGGGTCCGGGGAGACCAGATATAGTGAATGCCGGGTCCGGGGAGACCGGATATAGTGAATGCAGGGTCCTGGGTTTAGTAATACTTTAAGTGAAATCATGTTATGGTCACTGCTACCCAGATGTTCTTTTACATGAACGTTATATGAACATTAGTAATACGCTCTGCATGGTTTGAGATTACCAGATCCATCAGAGTATCATTTCCAGGGGCCTCTATGAACTGCACCATAAAACCTGTAACTTGTAAACTTGTAATAGTTTTATGCATTTTTGCCCTTTAACCATTCCTGCAGTACCATTACTTCAGTCAATTTCTGGGCAGTTAAAATCCCCCATTATCACTTTCCCAGCCCTTGCAGTCCTTTCAATCTGTGGAAGGAGCTGAGTCTTCACCTCCTCATTAACACTAGGAGGCCTATAACAAACTCCAATGATTTGCACTGTTTTTTTCTTTTTTTATTTGTATTAGTGAAATCACTAAGGAGCAGCAGCAGTTTATATTAGGAATTATTTCACATTAATTTTTGACGCTGGTGATTTTTGTATTATTAAACTCCAATGATTACCTTTTGTAGTACGCACCCCCATGTGCGGTTCCACCTATAGTGCTTCAGCCTCATCACACCCTCCAGCAAACAGATCCTCTTTCACACTCACTCTGAGATCACTTCTCACATAGAGACAGTCACCACCTTTCCTTTTTACTCTTTTAGTCAGGAATACTGGGAGTCATGTGAAGAATGAAGCCAAGATTCAGCAATCACAATAAGTCCTAGTTCTCTTTGTGCACCAAAACTTCCAATTCGCCTATTGTGCTTGGCAGACTTCTGGCATTGGTGAACAAAAACACTTTAATTGGGCAACACAGTGGCTAAATGGTTAGCACTTCCACCTAGCAGTACTCAGGTCATTGGTTCAAATCCCAACCACAGCACCACCTGTCTGGAGTTTGCATGTTCTCCCTGTCTGTGTGAGTTTCCTCGGGGTTTCCTCCCACACTCCAAAGACATGCTGGTAAGTTAATTGGATCCTGTCTAGATTGTCCCTAGTATGTGTATGTCAGTTAGGGACCTTAGATTGTATGCCCCTTGAGGGTTAGGGACTGATGTGAATGTACAATATATATGTAAAGTGCTGTGTAAATTGACGGTGCTATACAAGTACCTGTAATTAACACATTTAATTGATCATTACATTTTGTAAACACATTTTGCATATTTTGTATTTCAGTACAAAGAGTACCTATCCACTGGTTGTTTTTGTGTAGCTAAATTATGCTGCATACTGAGCGTGGCTTTTTTAGTCTGATTAGAAATGTTAGTTTTTTTTTTTTATTTTAACAAATTTTTAATTTTTTTCTTACATTTCTTTTTTTTTTTCTACAATGTTATTGGGGAGGGCGTTCTTTTGTTGAGATATCAGGGGTCTAAACATACCCCAAAAGCCTTACTTTTGAGATGGAGAAAGGGACTGAGGAAACAGATTTCCCAGTTCCTTTCTGCAGCCTCAGCAGATTAATGAACAGGAGACAGGTAACTTATGCAGTTCAATACAAAACAGAAAAAAACACATATAAATGGGACAGAACATCTTTTGGTTCTATATTTCTTTAATGGCTTGTAGGAATTCCACAATTTAAAATGAATATTGGACACTGTTGTATCACTTTCTGACCTGACCACAGAATAAGGTTTGACATATTTGGTGTCACTACTGAGAATGTAATATTTACCATCTTGACACCTTGGGAGGTTAATCAAGGTTGAACAAGGTATTTCACTAATATTTATGCATGGAAACTTAAATGTAATACTGGTTGTTCTTCTGAATATAGATCTAAAACCATAATAGTTATCTTCCATCATTTCAAAGTCTTATTTCGTTTTTATTTGTCTGTATTTTTCATGTAAAATGAATCACTCTCTAGAAAGAAATGTTTGTGTCTGAACCATGAGTAAGAGCTGCTGTAAAAATAATAAACTGCAATATAACCCAAAGGATTGCTTGAAATGAGGGAAATGTTCTGAACCCATTGAGCTGGAAAAAGTAAGCAGAAGTCCTGAAATACCTACCTTTGCTGCAGAAACCCTGGCTCCAATATTTCACAGTGATTGGTTATATAAATATATGTATATACACACTGATAAACCATACCTTTTTATGTACACTGACGGGTAAAGTGAATAACACTGATTATCTTGTTAGAATGACATCTGAAAGTCGGTGGGATATGTTAGGCAGCAAGTGAACATGTTGTCCCTGAAGTCATGTTGAAAGCAGAAAAAAATGGGCATTTCAGTTCGTTGTATATGGGGCTACATAGTCGCAGACTGGTCAGGGTGCCCATGCTGACCCATGTCTACAGCCAAAAGAACCTACAATGGGCACATGAACATCAGAACTGGACCATGGAGCAATGGAAGAAGGAGGCCTGGTCTGATAAATCACATTTTCTTTCACATCATGTGGATGGTCGGGTGCATGTGCATCACCTACCTGGGGAAGAGATGGCACCAGGGTCCAGTATTGGAAAAAGTCAATCCAGCAGAGGCAGTTTGATACTTTCTTCAATGTTTTGCTGGGAAACCTTGGGCCCTGCCATTCATGTGGATGTTACTTTGACACGTACTACTTGCCTAAACATTGTTGCTGTCCAAGCACAACCCTTCATGGTATTCCCATAGTGGCAGTGGCTTCTTTCAGCAGGATACTGCACCCTGCCACACTGCAAAAATGGTTCTAGAATGATTTGAGAAACACAACAAATTCAAGGTTTTGACTTGGCCTCCAAATTCTTAAAGTCTCAATCCATTGAAACATCTGTGGGATGTGGGAAAGACAAGTCTGATCCATGAAGGCCCCACCTCGCGACTTAAAGGATCTGCTACTAACGGCTTGGTGCCAGATACGATGGCATACCTTCAAAAGTCTAGTGATGTCCATGCCTTGAGGGGTCAGGACTGTTTTGGGAGCAAAAGGGGGACCTACTCAATGTTAGGTAGGTAGTCATTAAGTTATGGCTGATCAGTGAACGTGTAGGCAATTGAATGTGAAGCAAAGGTTCCAGCTGTTTTGATTTTGTTCCTACAACAGAGATCATATGAGCAAATGTCTAGGCATTTTAAGAAGAAAATTTTGCAGTGAACAAAGTACTGACTTCTGTTAGCTGTATGACTTTCAGGGAACACGGTGGGTAATGGAGGTTGTCTTGAATGATGATCTTTCCACTTTACGATTTTTCAGTTTAGCACATTAAACACAATAAAATAAACATTCCCCAATAAAATATTTGTTAAAATTCTTATCCCAGAACTTGCAGTTTACAACTTTCAATGCTGCTGGCTGCTGCTCTTAGTGCGGCTTCCCTGAACTTCCAGTCTTCACGGAAAAGAGTTAACAGTGGACAGCGTAGTTTTAATTCAGTCTGTTAGCTTGGGTTTGTTTCCATTCGGTGACACCTGAACTGATGAAATGCTCACCACTTCCAGTTTCTTAGACCATAGAGATGATCTTGTTAGAATGGCATTCTAACAAGATCATCTTTTTAGTCCCCGATCAGCTCTATTGTCAGCTGGACGTCCCCTCCCACTGCTTGTAAAAGCAATATAGCTTCTGATAAAAATAGAAAATAAAGGAATAGAAAGAAATAGGATAGAACAGAATAATAGAAAAGAATAGAAAAAAATAGAATAAAACTGAATATAAAAGAATAGGACAGAAAATAAAGGAATAGAAAATAAAGTAAAACAAATATAGCCATCTTCTGAAATTTGAATTTCAAATCCATTTGAAAATAACGAATATACTAAACCGATCCAAAAATATACGCAACAAATTCTGAAAACGAACTATTCTAACATAACAAGTGGATAAAGAGCCTTGATCAACTTCCAGACAAATTCAAGCTGACCTTCAGGCACAGGGTACAACTGTTGGCTTACACTATAAAAGAAAAGGGACGCTATGAGAGGAGACCCAGGAGGACCCCACTGCTGACACAGACACATTAAAATGTAAGATTGGAGTTTGCCAAAACTTACCAGAGGAAGCCAAAATCCTTTTGGGAGAATGTGCTGTGGACAGACAGAACAAAATTACAATTAAAGCTCATCATTCTATGGTTTTCAGAAAAAGAATTGAGTCCTTTAAAAGAAAAGAATACAGTCCCTACAGTCAAACATGGTGGAGGTTCACTGATGTTTTGGGGTTGCTTTGCTGCTTCAGGCACTGGATGTCATGACCTTGTGCATGGCATTATGAAATCTGAAGACTACCAAAGAATTCTGGGGTGCAATGTAGGGCCCAGTGTCAGAAAGTTTTTTTGTCTCTACCAGAGGTCATGAGTCTTACAGTAGGACAATGACCCAAAGCACACATCAAAAGCACCCAGAAATGGTTTCAAAGCGCTGGAGAGCACTGAACTGGCCAGCAATGAGTCAAGATCTCAATTCCATAGAGCGCCTGTGGAGAGATCTCAATGTAAAACAGTAGTTGGGAAAAGGAACCCTTCCAATCTGAGAGACCTGGAGCAGTTAGCAAAAGAGTGGTCCAAAATTCCAGTAGAGAGGTGGAAGAAACTAATTTATGGTTACAGGAAGTGATTGACTTCAGGTTTTTTTTCCAAGGGGTGTGTTACCAAATATTAAATTGACGGTGCCAATAATTTTGTCCAGTACATTTTTGGGGTTTTGTGGGAATGTGTCAGATTTGGCTTCTTGTTTCTCCACTTTTTTGTGTCATAGCAATAAAAAAGAAAGTTGAGTGCATTTGTAATTACAACAATTTTCTTGGCGAAGTGGTGCATTATCTGACATAAATGCAGGGGTGCCAATATGTTTGGCTGTGACTGCACATTTACAGTATTTGTTTTTGCAAAAACTAGATTTGACCTTTTAATAGGCATGTTAGTGGACAATGGGGTAAAATCATTAGGGTAGACCTGGAACTAATAATATAATGACCATTGAAAATTATCGGTTATCTGCATTTTGCAGACAAAAAAAAAGTGCTGATAATGAAAATTGACTTCAATGCAAGATAATGTCCCATGACTTCAGTGAAAAAAAACGCCCATATTGACTTCAATGCAAAATTGTCCCTTATTGACTTCAATGTAAAACTGCATCCCATTGACTTCAATGCAAAATTGCCCCTTTTGACATCAGTGCAAAATTGTGTCTCAATGCAAAAAAATCCCCCCCCCCCCCCC